AAAGAGAGAAAGAGAGAGGGAAAGGGAGGGGAGGGGAAGGGAAGGGAGAGAGAAGAGAGAAGAGAGAGAAAAGGAGAGAGAAGGAAGGAGAGAGAAGGAAGGAGAGAGAAGGAGGAGAGAGAAGAAGGAGAGAGGAGGAAGGAGAGAGGAGGAAGGAGAGAAAAGGAGGAGAGAAAAGGAGGAGAGAGGAGAGAGAAGAAGGAGAGGGAAGAAGGAGAGAGAGGGAGAGAGAAGGAGAAAGAAGGAGAGAGGAAGAAGGGGAGAGAAGAAGGAGAGAGAAGGAGAGAGGAGAGAGAAGAAGGAGAAGGAGAGAGAAGGAGAGAGGAGAGAGAAAGAAGGAGAGAGGAAGAAGGAGAGAGAAGGAGAGAGGAAGGAGAGAGAAGAAGGAGAGAGGAAGGAGAGAGAAGAAGGAGAGAAAAGAAGGAGAGAGGAAGAAGGAGAGAGGAGGAAGGAGAGGAAGAAGGAGAGGAAGAAGGAGAGAGGAGGAAGGAGGGAGGAGGGAGAGAGGAGGAAGGAGAGAGGAGGAAGGAGAGAGGAGGAAGGAGAGAGAAGAAGGAGAGAGAAAGAAGGAGAGAGAAAGAAGGAGAGAGAAGAAGGAGAGAAGCACAAAGAGAAGGAGCAGAAGGCTCTGAGACCTTGTGGTGACCTTCCAGTACTTAGAGGGGGCTCAGGAGGTGGGGACACATTTTTAGCCGGTTCCGACAGGACAAAGGGCGCCGGTTTTAACCCAAACCTTTGTCCCACGTACCGAGCGAGAGGACGAGAGAAAAGGGCCTCGAGGGGAGGTTTCAACTCACCACGAGGATAAAGTTCTTCACCCGAAAGGTCGTCAAAAATTTCCCAAGTCAAGAGAGCGAAACGGTCCGAGCTAATGGAAACGAGTCTTTATTAAGTAACTTTTTAATATCAGAAAAATAAAACTCTTATAATTCTCTTTACAGCAAATATATAATATCAGTGCTTTGGCCGTCATAAGTTAAAGGCCCTTTTATCATAAAATATATATGGTTTGTTTTTTTTTTTTCAATTTTTACTCAAATTGAATTTATAATCCCTATCGACCTCCCTACATATACATAACAAAAAAAAAAACGTGTAGTAAAATTAGCAAATACTAAACTAGATCGAGAGTTTTGTCATTCTTGTTTCAAGTCCGTGGTCGCTAGAAAGGGGACACGCGCCTGAACGTCCGTCGCTTCTCCTTGGCTGAGTCGTTGCGATAAAAATACAAAATCCATGCGCGGCGGGAAAGGGGTTTGTTCGCGTCTACGAGGCTGCGGCTCGAGATTAGGTTTGAAATACTGACGTGGAACTAGTTCTACAAGCGGTTAAAGTTTCCATCCTACGCCGTCGAGGCAAAAAAAAATCGTTAAAATAAAAACCGTTCATTGTAAACTTTGGATTTTTTTTATTTTTTTTAATTTTTATATACGAAACGTAACTCTTCAAGTCGGAAATAAAAAATAAAATTCTTCTGTATGTTTACTAGTTCGGTACGCGGAGCTAGAGGGAGAAATAATAAAAAAAATCAACCCAAAAAACCAAGAAAATCTTCGTTTTTGTCTTGAGAAATCAACGCTTCGGAGAAAAAATAACCCAACAACACAAAAAAATTGGAAAAAAATCCCACTCTTGTGGCTTTTTGTTGTCGTTTTAACATACGCCAGCACAGATTTGGGATGAAGAAGCTCGAAACATCCACAGGCTGAAATGCAAGAAGGCGTTTGCGGGAGAAATTTTTGATTTTTTTCCTTGTGATCGCGGGGGGAAAAAAAAATAAAGATGGTTGATTGCAGGGTCGCTGCCATGAAGAATCCCAGGGAACGTCCGCGACTCCTTTTTTTGTTTTTTTTCCTCTTTTCCTTACCGAAAAATAAAAATCTCCATTTCTCTGCGCGCAAGACAAAAAGACGGAGCCAACAGCGAAACGTTTCACATTGTGGAATTCTCTTAAAAAGAAAAAAAAAGGTTAAGAAGGGCTCGATGGGGAATGTCGGCGTCGTCACAATTCCGTGCGCGTCCCAAAGCCCTTGAAGCGAAGCGGGACGAAGCCGGTTGGTTTTTCCATGTTAAAAAAAAACCAAAAAAAAAGCAGTGGGTAGAAAATCACGAAAAAATTCAAGGAAAAAACAAAAAATAAATAACCGAGACGTCTCCTGATCCTCTAAACGTTGGCTCCTCGGTTTATTATCGCACCCCGCCGTTCCCAAAAAACCAACCCGAAACGCAACGGGATTTGCGACGCTGAAGGATGAGGCGCGAGTCGTCGGGCGAAGGGGAAGGAACCCACCGAAATTATTTCCCCAAACCTCTTTTTTTTGTGTTTTTTTTTTAATCTTTCGAAACTGGCAGTGTCAAGAAGGCAGCGGTGGAAGTGTCGTTTTTGATATATCGAAAACGCAGCGAAACCTCCGCGGAGAGACGAGGAGGCGAATTCTTTTCCCCCCAGAGATCCTTGAGGAAGCCGGTAAGATTTGTGTGTGGTTTTTTTTCATTTTTAATGTTTTCTTTCTTTTTTTTCTCCCTCCCTTCCTCTCCTCTTCAAGGTTCTCGGATAG